AATATAAGTGAAGTTCTGTAACTTATTTGGTAATGTTATAGTTTTTACTTCCAGAGATTCGAGATTAGTGTCAATCATTTTGTTATATAATTCAGAACTTTGATGACTTGTGCATGCTAGACTTAAAGCATTAATTATGTTGGGGACTAAATTGGAATCGATCAGGATTTTGCTGTGTTTTGTCTACTACGGCATACATTCTTTTTCTTTTACTTTAGAAAGCTTAACCCCCTCTTCTCGGGTTGTATTGAAGTACAAAACAGAAGCTAGAAAGTTTCCTTTCATGTTGTCAAGCCGTAAGCAGGAAAAAATAAATAATTTGTAGAACATGAAAAGAAATATGCTATTTGTTTTAATGGTTATGCCTGCGACACCATTGATTTGGATGATTCATTTATTTGATATGCCTTGCAGATATCAGGGCATGATGGTGGAACAGGAGCTAGTCCTATAAGTTCTATTAAGCATGCTGGTGGCCCTTGGGAACTTGGAGTGACAGAAACACATCAGGTTCTCATGTACATTATTGTCTTATTTGTAATCATTACTTTGTTCCTTATGAAGATATGGTTTGTAATCATTGAACGACAATATGCAGACCCTCATTGAAAATGGACTGAGAGAAAGGGTCATTCTTAGAGTTGATGGTGGCTTTAAAAGTGGAGTTGATGTCTTAATGGCCGCAGCAATGGGTGCGGATGAATATGGTTTTGGTTCAGTTGCCATGATTGCTACTGGTTGTATAATGGCCCGCATATGCCATACTAACAACTGCCCAGTTGGTGTTGCCAGTCAGGTATTGAATACGGAGCTATGAAACTTAGAGACTGTCTTGAATCTGTTTCGAAGGCAACTTTCTATTTTTGTTTGAAAACTTTGTATAATGACTCGTAAGAATTAATGTTATTGTGGATGTTGAAATCATTCACACATTAGCAATTCAACCTCTGGTTCATATTTGTATGGAGTTCGATATGTGTCTGAATGCTACTATTTCTTTCCTTTTTCAGAGAGAGGAGCTACGTGCACGTTTTCCTGGTGTACCTGGGGATCTTGTTAACTATTTTCTTTATGTTGCTGAGGAGGTTATTTCTCTTCCAGCCATTTTAGTCTTTCATTTGTTTATACTTTCATTTGGTAATCTTTCTAGTTCTTATCCCGCTCAGTTGATCCTATGGTGTGTGAATCAAATTTTATTGTTTGTTTCAGGTTAGGGGTACATTGGCCCAGCTGGGATATGAGAAGTTGGATGATATAATTGGAAGAACAGAATTATTAAGACCTCGGGATATCTCTTTGATGAAGACACAACATCTCGATCTCAATTATATTCTATCTGTATGTATTTAGATGGAACCACTTTAATTTTGATTCTGCATTCTGGGTGTTATAATAGGATTATATCACCATGCAATTTTGTTTTTATTTATTAGTGTTCTTATGTAACCATCTTAAATGTACTTACAGAGTGTTGGATTACCAAAAGAGAGCAGTACTGAAATACGCAATCAAGATGCTCACACAAATGGTCCTATTCTGGATGATATCATCCTCTCAGACCATCAGGTATGAATGGAGATGATAAATGATCCTCAGTTCAACGAGAATAATGCAATATTTTTTCTTGATTTTTTTCTCTTATCATCTCTTTAGGACATGATTACCCATTTTTTTTAGAACCTAATTACTTGTGCATAACTTTCACCAACTGTTATATGGATATCCCATTGATCGTACTATAAAGATTTAAGCCGTACCTTCTTTTTCTTTAGTTTATAGCTTTGTATTTGTTTGGTGGCTCTAAACTATTCTCTTGCTCTATGGATAAAAGCGCATTAGGTTGTTTTTCTCTGACCTTCAGCCCACTGGTTTTTTTTTTTTTTTCCCTTTTTCTTGACCGTTCTCTGTTGTTTGTAATCATTGTATGACTTGTTTGTTTTCTGGTTCTATTTCTTCTACTCTCCTTGGGCGTTTGTATTCTTCGAATATTTTCCTTTTCATTCTTGTAAAAAATTTCCTGCAAGTTTTACGCTAGGATGGAGAGTTCTAACATGTTGAGCCTGAAGCAAGCAAACAGGCTCCAACCTACTATATTTCTACCTGTCAATTTTTTGAGCTCTGACTTGACACTCGATGCTAAGCATAGTTACTTTATTGATTAAAATGTTTATAAGAACTAAAATGTCAATTCTGGTAATTAAACTTACGTAGTATAGGCGGAAAAGAACTTCTGATCTGAAATTTTACTTTTAATGTTTCTATGAGTGAGGAATATGTAGAAAGTAAAAATGTGGTGATCTGAGTTTTGTTCACTATTTGTTCTATTAGCAACACGTAGTAAAGAACATGTGACAAGAAAAAAAAAAAGCTTTTTTCTGGCTTATCTGACCATGTCCTGAATTCATTTTCTAAAATTTGTTTTTTAATTTATGTATCCAGATATTAGATGCAATTGAGAATGAGAAAGTAGTACAAAAGACAGTAAAGATTTACAACATTGATCGTTCTGTTTGTGGGCGTGTAGCTGGGGTGATTGCAAAGAAATATGGCGACACTGGTTTTGCTGGCCAACTAAACATTACGTATGATTCAAATTTTAATGAACTATTACTAATGTCATGAGAAATTGGAAGGCATAGTCATATGTTGGCGCACACCGTATAAGTTTTCTTTCATTTATTCAGGTTTACAGGTAGCGCTGGACAATCATTTGCATGCTTTCTTACACCTGGAATGAACATTCGGCTTGTTGGAGAGGCCAATGATTATGTGGGAAAGGTATGGTGTAATGTCCAGTTCGGACATTAGGAGCGATATTACTGTTTTATGTATTAATATTATATAAATTCTTACTCTAATTATTTATAATCCAAGGGTATGGCCGGAGGTGAACTAGTTGTAACTCCAACTGAAATCACCGGGTTTGTTCCTGAGGAAGCAGCCATAGTGGGGAATACATGTCTGTATGGAGCAACCGGCGGTCAAGTTTTTGTTAGAGGAAAAGCCGGGGAGAGGTTTGCTGTCAGAAATTCTCTGGCGGAGGCAGTGGTTGAAGGAACTGGTGACCATTGCTGTGAGTACATGACTGGTGGTTGTGTTGTTGTACTTGGCAAGTATGTAATTTCTCTTTATCCAAGTTATCCGCCACTATTTGGGTTGGTATTAGAGAGGACTATACTGAGACCATTTTTTGCGTCCAAATTATTAGAGTGGGAAGAAATGTAGCTGCTGGAATGACCGGAGGCTTGGCTTATATCCTTGATGAGGATGATACTCTTATTCCCAAGGTTTTTGTTCTTCATTCTAGCCATTCTTCACCTCTAATTGCCATCCTCATGCTTTTTCCTTTACTTTTTATGTGAAGCTATATGCATGAATTATGTTAGGCTCTGGATTATTGCTATAGTATTAGTCTGAGACGATAATCCTGTGAAATATGAGCAGGTCAACAAAGAAATTGTAAAAGTTCAGAGAGTAACAGCACCTGTGGGACAGATGCAGCTGAAGAGCCTTATTGAAGCTCATGTTGTAAGTATTTTCCAATTTACAGAAACCCTTAAACATTTGAAGATCAAACCGTTGATTCCATTTGAAATGCTATCGAAATATCTGTGAACTGAGATATGTATTTCTGACCAATAGGAAAAAACTGGTAGCACCAAAGGTTCCGTCATCCTGAGCGAGTGGGAGACTTATTTACCGCTTTTCTGGCAACTGGTTCCGCCTAGTGAGGAAGATACCCCAGAAGCTTGCGCTGAGTATGAGAGAACAGCTACTGGAGAAGTGACTTTCCAGTCCGCCTAAACGATCAAAGCAACAATTGCTATGATCGTGTGATTAATTTGCAAAAGCTGCAACTCTACAGCTTACGGGATTGGAATGGGAATTCTTGATCTGAAAAATGCTTGCAGATCTCAGCGGCGAAGAGAAGCAGTAAGCCTTCTCTTGTTTCGTTCCCTCTGTAAATATGGTTTGCAGCAGAAACAGAATATTATGTAGATTTCATGTAGTTTAGACTTCATGATTCATGTTGAAGCAAAACATCTGTTAGTTCTGTGATTAAAAATAAGTATAGCCTTGGCTCATTATTGTTGGCCATTGCTTTCTTTGCTTTCTTGCATTTCAGGGTACAAAATTCTCTGATTATTTTGTATTCACCTTCTGGGAACATGAAGAACAATGCTTAATCTTATAAACTACCGAATGCTTTTATTTTGAAGTGAAAGTTGTTTGTTTGACGTATGAGTTGCCTTGATTCTTGATTTCTGAAATAGGGGTGAATATTTTTCAATGCTTAATGTTCATACCAGTTCGCTAGTGTCTTTACCATCTTCTACCATCTATTGTCCAACCCTTGTCGTATGTTGTAGCTTAGTGACAGCATTTAGAAATGTCAGTGGCTTGGTGAGGACTGATTGCCTAGGGCGTATTAAGGCAGCTTCCTTAGAGCTTGCTTTTCATGAGTTTGGAAGAGGGAATCCGACTCTCACAACTCAAGCCTACCGTTAGCAAATATTGTCATTTTTTAGTTTTCCTTCTCGGACTTCCCCTCAAGATATTGTCTTTGCTGACACTCATTTCCCTCTCCAATCGACGTGAGATCTCACAATCCACTTGCCCCTTTGGGACTTAATGTCCTTGAAGATACATCGCGGTGTCTGGCTCTAATACTGTCTGTGATAGATATTGTCTTCTTTAGATTTTTCCTTTCGGACTTCCCCTTGAGGTTTTTAAAACGATGTGGGATCTCACACCGATCTTTGGGTAGTTTCTTTTGGTTCAAAAAGCTACTTTCCATTTAAAATTCTGAAGCGAACCAATTTAGACAAGGTTTATATTTGAGGGAAAAATTTAAACTTCTAACCTCAGAATGTCTACAACTATTAAGATTGTTTTCATTTACCTTTTGGGAAGAAATGGTCTATCACTTGTGCAAATATTGTAGAACACCTAAACACCCACCATACCTAGTTTGAAGCAGGTCAGGTTAAATGAGGTATAGATAAAGCTTTCTTAATCTATTCCATTTGGATTGTTTTGATAAACTTAACTCCAAACCCACGGCTACATAATCCCAAATCTAAGCAGTTTTCGTGTCTTCACACCCATCCTTGGACAAGGTTGAAGAAGAAGGCTCCCCCTCATCGTCTTTCTCCTCTTCCAAAGGCTTATAAGTGTAGAACCAAGCACAGACGACATAGTAGACCAGGTTCAAAACCTGAATCCCACTCACAAGCCAATAGTAACGCTCCAACCTCCCTCTGTTAAGGTTCCTATCCGGCAACCAATTATGCTCTTTCCCACTATACTTATGCACTAAAGACACCATCAAAGTCCCCACATAATTCCCCATCGATATTGCCAGCCAGTACAGCGCCGTCGCCGTACTCCTCAAGCTCTCCGGCGACTGGTCGTACATGAACTCCAAATGCCCCACTGACATAAAAACCTCCGCGATCCCGTGCAGCCAAAACTGGGGCACCAACCAAAACACGCTGAAGGGGATGGTCGCCGTTGGGTCGTCGAGTAAATTGTGTTCGGCGGCGACTTTCTTTCGTCGGATCTCGATAAGGGAGGAGACGAGGGTGGCGAGGATGTTGATGGCGAAGCCGACGCCCATGCGCTGGAGGCAGGTGATGCCGGAGGGGTTTTTGGTGAACCTTCTGGCGAAGGGGACGAGGAGGCGCTCGTAGAGGACGAGGCCGGTGAGCATTGAGAGGATGCCGAAGATGGAGAGGCTGGCCGGAGGGATTTCGAATGTGGGTGTTAGGTGGCGGTTCATTGTGCGGGCTTGTTGGACTGTGAAGCTGTGTTGGTGGGAGTGTTGGTGACAACAGAAAACTGAATTGAGATTGAGAGGAGGAGTGATTTGAATGATGGGGAGGGAGGTCCTTTTATAGGGGATTCCAGAGTTGGTTGAGATTTTCTAGGGTGATTCCGTAGTCGGTTGAGAGATTTTTGTGGATGAATTTGAACTTGAAACCAATTCAAATTCTATTCTATTCTATTTGAATTTGAAACCAATTCAAATTCTATTCTATTATTAGCTATTATTAGTTTCAACACCCTCCCTTAAACTGAATTCTGCCTAAATCAGTTTAGGACTTCATTTCATATTCTTGATATACATCTTGGATTCTGCATATCCCCATCTTTCTTTTGAGCTTCTCGAACAATGGTTGTTTCAAGGGCTTTGTGAATAGGTCTGCGATTTGTTCATCACTTCGGCAAAAGTTGAGTTCAATAATGCCTTCTTTACACAAATCACGCAAGAAATGAAATCGAACATCGATGTGCTTGCTCCTTCCATGCAACACAGGATTTTTAGACAACTTAATAGTTGACATATTATCACAATATATAACCGTCGTACTTGGTTGCTTCTAATTAAGAATTTCAAGCATTTTTCTTAACCAAATTGCTTGGCACGAGCATGCTGCTGCTGCCACAAATTCTGCTTCTGTCGTTGAGAGTGTTACAATAGGTTGCTTCTTTGAAGACCAGCAAATAGCTCCTGAACTCATCAAGAAAATACTTCCTGAAGTACTTTTACGATCGTCTATATCACCTGCATAGTCGCTGTCTGTATAGCCAACTATCTTCGGATCATCTCCTTTTTTGTAGAATACCCCCAAATCAGAGGTTCCTCTCACATAACGAAGTATCCTTCTTGCTGCATTGAGATGTTTTTCCGTTGGATGCTCCATGTAACGACTTATCATACTAACCGCATACATGATGTCTGGTCTTGTTGAAGTTAGGTACATCAAACTTCCCACAATTTGTTTGAAATACCTATTATCAACCTCTCGCCCGTCAATGTCCTTGTGCAACTTTAAGCCCAATTCTGATGGAGTTCCAAATGTGCGCTCATCCAATTTAAATCTTTCAAGTAATTCTTGAGCATACTTCTTCTGACAGATAAAGTTACCTGCGGGAGTCTGAGTAACTTCTACTCCAAGAAAATATCTCATCAAGCCAAGATCTGTCATTTCAAATTCCTTCATCATGCTCTTCTTAAAAAATTCAAACATTTCTTCATTATTGCCAGTAAATATTAAATCATCAACGTATAAGCAAATAATGATAATGTTACCTCCCTTTTCAGTTTTCACATACAACGTATGTTCATACGGGCATTTAGTGAATCCCATCTTTTCAAAATGAGAATCAATGCGACTGTACCATGCCCTCGGAGCTTGCTTCAAACCGTACAAAGCTTTCTTCAACTTGTATACTTGTTCCTCTTTGCCTTTTTGAACAAAACCTTCTGGTTGCTCCACATATACTTCCTCTTGAAGCTCTCCATGTAAGAAGGCTGATTTCACATCAAGTTGATAAATAGGCCAAGATTTCTGTGCTGCAATAGAAATTATGAGCCTGATAGTGTCTTGACGTGCCACTGGTGCAAATACCTCCTTATAATCAATTCCATACTTTTGCTTATATCCTTTTGCAACAAGTCGCGCCTTGTACTTATCCACCTCACCATTTTCATTCAACTTGGTTTTGAAAACCCATTTTACTCCGATTGTTTTCTGCCCTCTAGGAAGATCAGTGAGCTCCCAAGTCTTGTTCTTCTCTATGGATTTGATTTCACTGTCCATAGCTTCCTTCCATTTCTTCTCTTTTACTGCCTCTTCATAGACAATTGGATCACTATCCATAAAGAGTGCAAAATAACCACTATCACTTGATTCATAATCCATCTCATAATCAATCATCCAGATTGGTCTTTTTCTTGTTCTTGGATGTCTTTGATTTTGATCATGATCTTCTTCTACTGATTCTTCTTGTTGAGCTTGTGATGAGCTCTCTCCATGCTCATAGTGAGGCTGAATAGGAGCTTCAGTTTGTTCTTCTTCAAGATCTACAAGAATCTGCTGATTCACAGTGATCTTTTCTTCCCATGTCCAAGTCTTATTTTCGTCAAAGACTACATCACGACTCACCACCACCTTCTTTGTCAAAGGATCGTAGAGCTTGTATGCCTTAGAGGTCTCGCTTACTCCAAGAAACACACACTTCGAACTCTTGTCCTCAAGTTTCTTCCTTTTCTCATCAGGAACGTGTGCATATGCTATGCACCCAAAGATTCTAAAGTGGTCTACTGCAGGTTTTCTTCCGCTCCATGCTTCTTGTGGAGTCATATCTCTAACAGAAAAGGTAGGGCTCCGATTGAGAATGTGAACGGACCACACAACAGCTTCTGGCCAGAATTCCTTCGGGACTTTTCCTTTATTTAGTAAACTTCGAACCATGTTAAGAATGGTCCTGTTTTTCCTTTCGGCCACACCATTTTGTTGTGGTGTATATGCTGTTGTTAATTGCCTCCGTATGCCCTTCTCTTCACAAAATTGAATAAACTCTTTCGAGCAGAATTCTCCACCTCTGTCAGTTCTTAAAACCTTGACTCTTCTTCCAGTTTCGGTTTTCATAGTAGCACAAAATTTTTTGAAGCAGTCAAAGGCTTCTGATTTGGCGTGCAAGAAATAAGTCCATGTTTTTCGACTAAAGTCATCGATGAGGGTCATGAAATATTTCTTGTTACCATTTGATGCAGGAGAGATGGGACCACATATGTCTGAATGAATCAACTCCAAAATTGCTTGAGCTCTTCTTGATTTTCTGGATGGAAAAGAGTTTCTTTCATGTTTTGCTACTACACAGCTCTCGCAAATTTCCGTTGGTGGAGTAATATCTGGCAACCCAGTTACCATCTTCTTTGAGGACAACGTCTTTAATCCTTTGAAGTGTAGATGACCATACCTAAAATGCCAAAGCCAAGTGGTATCTTCTTTCTTCACCATCAAACTTTTGGCAACGATATTTAACGTCAACGGATATAGACGGTTGGTGGTCATCTTCATCTTAGCAATCGATCCTCTTTTGGAGTCATAAATTTCACATTCATCATTTTGGAATGTGATCACATACCCCTTTTCTTGTAACTGACCGATACTAAGTAAGTTGGCCTTCAAATCAGGAATGTAGAATACATTAGAAATAGACTCTACAAAGCCATTTCTAGTCTTGATATCTACGGTTCCTTTCCCTATCACTTGGAGAGATGAATTGTTGCCAAGAGAGACTGTAGTATGAAAATTTTCATCTAAAGTTGAGAAGAATTCCTTACAACCTGTCATATGATTGCTGCATCCAGAATCTACGACCCATACACCTTGATCTGCAACCTTCATAGCATGGAATGACATTAATAATGTTTCTTCTTCTCTTGCCTTTGTTGTCACAATCGTTTCTGACTAGGTCTGCTGACCTGCCAACATCTCCACTTCTTTCTCGACTGCCTCTCTCACGACCTCTGCCTCTTCTTTGGCTCTTCATAACCTGTTTCCACCATATCAAAGAACTCCTTTGATTTGAGAAAATTTTCCATCAACATCGCCCAATGATCATAGTGACCGTCGAACCTCGGGATGGCGGATTGGCTCTGAGGGCTGGGCACGGGGTCCCAGTCCCGAACCTGTCGGCTGTTGGTGGACTGCTCGAGCTACTCCCGCGGTGAGAGCGGGTCGCTGCGTGCCGGCCGGGGGACGGACTGGGAACGGCTCCTTCGGGGGCCTTCCCCGGGCGTCGAACAGTCAACCTTGCTCTGATACCAGTTGTTGGTGACAACAGAAAACTGAATTGAGATTGAGAGGAGGAGTGATTTGAATGATGGGGAGGGAGGTCCTTTTATAGGGGATTCCAGAGTTGGTTGAGATTTTCTAGGGTGATTCCGTAGTCGGTTGAGAGATTTTTGTGGATGAATTTGAACTTGAAACCAATTCAAATTCTATTCTATTCTATTTGAATTTGAAACCAATTCAAATTCTATTCTATTATTAGCTATTATTAGTTTCAACAGGGAGGAGGCTGTCACCAGCAGGATTCCGGCCGCCCATATTGGAAGCATTCGGATTATGGATTTTAGCTCTTCGATTCGGTGGACGGTGGCGAGGCGCCACAGATTTGGTGGGTCGCTTGTTGATTCGTCGGTTGTTATGACGGCGGCCTTATCCAGCCACCTGAAAATGTAGCCATGGCAAGAAAATTCAAAATAAAAACTATCCATTTCAAAAAAATAATAATAATAATTATTAGATAATTTTTATTTCCAAATATAATTTCTATTAAAACCTCCTCGTAAATCTAATAATATTTTATAATAATAATAATTAAAAAAAACCTATAATATAATGTCAAGCATAAATTTCAAGCTTATCCATTTATAAAAAAAATTATATGTATTTATCTACGGAGTAAAAAAAAAAGTAAGTTTTTGTTTATATATAGTGTGAGGAGGTCGAGGACGAAAAATATAATTTTATCCCCGACCTCATTTAGTTAACAAGATTTTACTCAATTTTTCATTCTCGCTCCGTTTATGAGTTTCTTGTGGGTTAAATGACATTGAGTCTTACGGATTAAATGACGCTCTACTTCGCAGGATCAAAATCCATAAAAATTCTTTGTGAGTTAAATTAAAGAAATTTATAATTAAACATCGTTAATTATGATAACTTACTTGAACTGATCGGTGTGGACTAGCCTTCCCTGTATGGCAATGGCAGCATCAAGCTTATGGTTCCGATACAAGAGCTTCGGGTCCTCTGGAAGGGAAGCCTTTCTCTTCTTGACAGCCGCCACGACAACCTGAGCCAACCGAACCAATGGACTGCCACTGGGCTTGAGTTTGTTGTAGAGAGGCGAGCCAACAACGAAGGCCACAACAGACAAGGCCATGGCAATGGTGGGAAGGCCAAAGCCCCAGCCCCATCCAACGTTGTCTTGAATATAGACCACCACGGTGAGAGCCGTGAGAGTGGCCAGTCCCATGCAGAAATAGTACCAGTTGAAGAAGTTCCATGTCCGGCCCGCCACACCGACCTTTGTCATGTCGAACTGGTCGGCAGCAAAGGCAACGACGCAAGGTCGAATGCCACCTGCGCCGAGGGACGTGAGGAGGAGAGCAAGGTAAAAGACTGTTAGTTGCGTGCTGGAGGCTTGTATGCAATTGAGTTGGGTTGGACAGGGCGGTGGGTGGAGCCTTGGGATTATGGCAGAAATGGTAATGGTAGCCATTCCCTACGAAAAAAGAAAACAATATGAAAATTTAGAAAAGTTTAGCATATCAAAATATTATATCAAAAGAGACGCATACGAGCTCATAAATGATGGAGGCAAAGGTGATGGTCCAGAAGCGGCCAGCGAAGGAGTCAGCGATGAGAGCGCCGATGAGCGCAGTGAAGCTGGAAGTAGCAGCAAAATTGGTGAGAATGTTTGAGGCCGGAACAAGAGGCATGTTCAAATCTTGTGTCAAATATGTTATTATGTTGGCATGGAATCCGGTGCTTGCAAATCTATCGCATATTTCATTTCCTGCAAATAAAATATAAATTCTTAGTTACTCAACTCAATTAATTCCAATATACTTCAATATTTATATTCATAATTCCATAAAATATTAACCCTAAACCCCATATCTTTTTTTAAAAAGTTGATTATTTTAATTTATTTCATTCACGGGGGACAAATATTTTGCTTCCTATTGTGGACAAAGAAAATGGCACAAACCTCAAGGCTTTATAAATAATTTTAATTAAACTCCATTAGATTGAAGCAAGTTTATTTTAAATACTTAGACTATTTTCGAGTAATTCTTCGTATAATTCTCTCTAAACTTAATACTTTACACCATTGATAGCTATTATGAATTATACAAAATACTTTACACCCAAATGACCGTCTTACTGATCAAAAAAATTTGGAAAGGAAAATATAGAATTCGATTACGAGAATAACTTTTCAACATGACTACCGAATATGCATAGCAAAAAAGAGAAAGAGAAAGAAGGATACCGAGAATGAAAGGCATTGTCTTGACGCCACCGAGCTTCCTCTCCTTCCTGGTCTCCATCTCCTGTTTCTCGGCCATTCCCTTCTCAGCATCAGCACTCACACTCAAGGACTCCATCTCCATTTCTCTGCCCATTTTCACACCTCCCCTTCACCCCTATTTATAAGGGCACGAGGACAAATACGGTGCGTTTTATAAGACCTTCCCATTATCAGAAGGTGGGGTGGGGTCCTCCAAAACTCGACCCACTTTGGCCAATGGCATGTGACCCTCCCTGACACTGCCACTTTCTTTGTACTAATTTGGTCCAAATTATTGAGAGGGTTGGTTGTTCTTATTTGAACCCTTTGCATATGGATCTCACACACACACACACACACCACCATTGTTTTCTTGTGAGCCTTGTAGCTTTAGGTGTTGGCTTTATCTCAAATTTGACTAAACTCAAATTTCTTTTACACTATACTATATGGTTGGTGTGAAAGGAATATGTTGCAATCATTTAGATTTCTTATCTACTACCTCCTTTTGATATCATGTTAAATTGTAGTTCTGAGTTTAGAAGTTTAAATTACTTCGAATTATGGATACTTCAAAGGGTTGATCTTGAAAAAAATCAATAAAAACATCATTTGAGGACAAAAAAATTCTAATTTCTGGGTTGATAATACACATTAAGTTTAAATTAGATTTCATTTCGGCTCTTTAACTTAATAAGTAAATATACATACCTTCTACAATCTCAATGTAGTCAATTTCTATACTATAATTGTTTGTGTGTCATTTAATGTGATCATTAATGGATATCTTTGGTTCATAACCATTCATCAAACTAACTATTACTTATGCAACAAAATTGTCAAAACCATGCAAGAAGGCAAGCATAAATGGAGCTCTAATAGGTAATGTTTTAATATAGCGTAGCTAGATAGCTATAACTTTGAAAATGATCATTTGAAAGTGATGCAACACTATTAAACTTAGAATATGAGGTCTATGTTCTACAAGATCCAAAACCTTTGGATGATTCTTGAGATTTTCTTGATTAGGGTTTCTACAAACCCTTTGTCATCTTGTTCTTCAGATTCCAAATGATTTCCATTCATCTTGACAACCCTTATCTTCAAATTAGCTCTAATACTATTAGTTAATATTGCCTCCATAATTTGATAGTCACATTTAAGATTTAGCATCATTACTTTAAATAATAAAACTCTGTCTTGGAAGCTTTCTTTTATCCAATAATTCTTTCCTAAATCATATGTATTTTGCTTCCACACCTTTTCTAAAATTAAGTCTTTAAAAACTTGTTCACAGGAAAAGTTAAAGTTTTGACGAGTGACTTTGGAGTGAAATTCATATAAGTGAAAGATGTAAGTTCACCAAATATGGTGTCAATCAAATGTCTTAGAATATACTATAGGGGAGACTTGATTTTAAATAAGATCTTTATAGTTCTAGATAGAGACTAGTAAAAATTGAAAACCAATAAAATACTATGAGAATTAACTCGAGAATTTGCACATCAGCCCCCCTATTATATATTCTACTCAGATAAAAGTCTCAATTCTAAAACTTAAAAGTCTCCCACTTTAAAACTTAGAAAAATTAAATGAACATCATTCAACAATCAACAATCATAAAGTATATATTCCCATTCACAGGATGATAAGTTTATAAGTTTATGTTCAAAATCTCATATATAAAAAAATACAAGTTGGCTTTAAAAAAAATAGTTATATCATGAACTGTTGATGGGTTGTCTGAAACACAATCCAAAATGGATCACAGTGAGCCACATAAGGCAAGAGAGAGAGAAACAGAATTCAAATCCATTTTTGATACTAAAAAACTAAGGAACAAATCAACAGAAAAAAGTAAAAAGAAAAGGACAAAAGCTTTAAAAAGAAGTGCTGAATTCAAAGAGAAAATAATGGAAGAAGAAGAAGAATGATTTGACGTGGGAATCTTTGAAAAAAGTTGAAGCTTTCAGTAGGGCAGTGAAAGTAAGGCGTGGGGGAAAAAAGAACAAAAATGGTTGTGGCTGTGTGTTTTGTGTTGTTGTCAAAATTGAGATGGTCGGCAAAGGAATAAAATCATCGGTGTGTCTGTGTTTGTGTAAGTGGGGAGTTTTGGTATCCTTCTCATGGGACGACAAGTGTCTGAACTGAAGCGGCTCAGCATATGAACCTTCCCAATGACAATGTGCTCTTGTCTGGTCTGATCTTGCTATCTCTCTTGTCGTCCACCTGCATTTCTACGGTACACTTCTGCCCTCCTTTTTGTTTATGAGGCGCTGCAAGATTATCAAATTTTACCTACCACAGGCGCATCCAATGGCTTCTGCAGATACTTCCTACTTAAAAAGCTAATATTATTTTAGAGTCGTATTCGAATTTCAGGCAAATTGGATCCTTTATCATCGCGGAAAAGCTCTTAATGAGTAGACCTTAAGATAAATTGCTAAAACATGCAGGAGAAGAGCATTGACCCATTCAAGCTCTTAATGAGTAGACCTTAAGATAAATTGCTAAAACAAGCCGGAGAATAGCATTGACCCATTCGATCTCTTAATGAGTAGACCTTAAGATAAATTGCTAAAACAAGCCAGAGAATAGCATTGACCCATTCGGTCAATCAAAAAAGGACTATTCACAACTGCCTAAACTCCGCCAAAGAAATGCGGGATGGGTGAGGAGTAGCTATCCATTATTATCTAATGTAGGCCAACCAAATCTTTTGTCTGCAATACATACCATTGACCAAAACTTCGTTTGTCACATGTACATGTGTCTTGCAAATGAATTATGATCCTTCCATCTTTTACCAACAATCACATCTACCATTCACTTTCCCTTAAATGCACTTTTAAAATAATGAACGAATTGAGACTTAACATTTTGTGAGATCCTACGCTGGTTGGAGAGGAGAACAAAACATTTTTTATAAGGATGTGAAGACCTTCCCTTAGTAAACCCGTTTTAAAAAACTTGAGGGAAAACCCAAAGAAGACAATATTTGCTAGCAGTGGGCTTGGGCTGTTACATGGTGTCAGAGCCAGACATCGAGCGATGTGCCAACGAGGAGGCTGAGCCCTAAAGGGAGGTGGACACGAGGCGGTGTGCCAGCAAGGACACTAGGCCCCAAAAGGGGTGGATTGGGGAGGTCCCAGATCGATTGGAGAAGGGAACGAGTGTCAGCGAGGACGCTAGGCCCTGAAGGGGGTGGATTGTGAGATCCTACATCGGTTAGGAAGGAGAACTAAGCATTATTTATAAGGGTGTAGAAACCTCTCTCTAGCAAACACGTTTTAAAAAATTTGAGAGAAAGCCCAAAGAGAACAATATCTACTAGCAGTGAGTTTGGGCGGTTATATTTTTTTTAAAACAATATTATTGGTGTGGAGGGTTGAACGTTTCACTTTGAGTTGAGAGTATGCGTTTTAACTAATTGAGTTATGCCAAAGTTGATAATAAATCAAAGTATGAGATCCTAAATCCATCTTTTTAACTCCTAAAATGTTTTAACTTGTTCAAATTGACTCCTAAATGCACTTTCGGAGCCAAACTCACCAAAACTATTTCTCATACCTACTTTCTTAATTCACCTAAATTACATCTCTCAGGGTCCATTTGGTTTGAGATTTTGTTTAGAATGTTTGAGAATAGGATATCTAAAAACTCCTCCTTTACGTGTTACTTTGGGATCACATGATAAAGTCCTTGGGGTGCCATCTGTTTGTTCTTTCATACTTGTCTTGCAGCGCAAAGCTACAAACTATGCATCCTTTTCTTAACTAGATAACATACTGGAGGAACAGGAAGAGCTTTTGCACAATAAGATTTCAGGTTAGGCATCGATTCATAATGTTCTCGTTTCTTGTTTCTAGTTTATGTTTCTTTTTATTATTATTTTTTTTTTTAGTGTTCATGCATGTACCTCATTTTCTCCCTCCCCCTTCTACACCCCATCTCTCAGCAACGTTTTGTGATTTTATCATAAAGGCATAAAGGTTAGTATTCGTGCATACCTCCTTCGCATAGGGTTAAACAAGCTGTCGACATATCCTCCCCAGCCTTCCTTCATGATTCATATCCTGTAGCTTCATATAAAATAACACAACCTGAAAAGTCAGAAGAAAAAAAAATTGATTACCTCCAGTCAGTCAGAATTCATTTATAAAGTTTTCTAAATAGCGAATTGAACTAAGGATAAGTAAGGCTATGAAATAGAAGCACCATAAACTATTATACACATTATTTCCTATGACTTCTATTAACCAATAACAATCCTAACCAATAACTATTATGAATTTACTCTGTTTGAACTTTGAACAAAAGAAGGTGAAATTCACATTTTGGTCAAAACTCATTGAGTTACAGGCATGGACAGTGTTCTAAGTGATGCAATGCAAACAGAATAACTTTGAAATGCAAGGAAACCACCAGTACAAGCCTAGAGGAGTTTGAAAAGGAAAAGGTATAACAAACTAGCAGTGATCTGGATTGTTCCTCAGTAGGCAAGCGAGTGATAAGCATCTCTCATGAATAATGTTGCCTCTCTCACAAGAGAAAATTCTTCATTTTTAGAAGAATTTTTCAACTGACTTAAAATTTTGATAAGAACAGAACCCAGTAATATGATTCTAGCCACTAAGTACAGATTGGCTGGAACTCATTAGAAATGGACATCTATCACCAAAAAGATTTGTGCATATAAATGATAACGATAAGGAAAAAGTCTAAGCTAAAAAAGCCAACTTGATACGCATCCTTTGACGAACTAAATGAGATGGAACCAATGACGAAAATAGGCAGAAAGAAGAATAGTGCCCACAAAGCACGCATTTTTGCATCAAAGGTGCAATTGCTATAAGTAGAGAGAGCATTCAAATTTCAAGTAAATGTTGAAAACATGGTGGTAGAGTGAACATAAGGGAAAATATTTGCTCTAGCTCAAACTTACATGCTTGTTTGGTAGCCAAAGAATATCCAATATTTAGTAGAGTTTCACCTATCCTTACTGACACATTTTTGTCCTGCCTTAAGAATGATTATATAAACATCTTAATGTGACACAAGATGAGGTTATGCAGCAAAGGGATCATGTGAAGGGGCAACATCATGACCTATGTGGCGCTGAACAAGCCGCTGAAGATCATCCATCACCTTCCTTTCGCGTTTAGCTTTTTCTTCATAGTTATACATTGCCAGAGCTCTTTTATCTTCAGCACTGTAAACTTGGTTTTCTTTTCTAATACGGATTGCATTCATTCTCTGATGCCTGCTACCACTCATCACATAGCCAAGGGTCTCGAAGTTCTGAATTTCCTCAGCTGAAAGACCCACTTCACCACACCGTGGAATACGCTTCCCTTGCTGAACATACTGTGCGATGGCGTCACCTTCCCCAGGCCTAAGCGCACCACCATAGCTAATATGGCCCTCAGCTCTTGGCAGTGGCATTGGTCCAACTGGCATCTCATTATCACATGCAGGTTTCTTTTGTGCCTCCAAAATTTCCTTAATCTTCAAAGCTTCAGCATTGATCTCCGCAATCTTCTCTCCATCAACCTTTAATTTACTCTTAGCATCAACATCTTCAGAACCAGAATTTTCCTCAGAAGAGGAACTTTTACTCTCCGTTTCTGAAGGTCTTTTTGTCTTGCTCCTGGATTTCGACGAAGTTGACAAGGCCTTCCGCTTCCTCAATTTTTCACCTTCACTTTCCTCACTCTCATCTGTGGCACTGTACTTCCTCTTCCTACTAGTCTTGGAGCGCTTCGTCCGACTCCTTTTCTTCGACCTGACACGGTCGCTAACATCAGAATCATCTGTCTCACTTCCTTCACTGTCCTCCCTATCGCTGTATCTACTCTTCTCCTTCTTATTACTCCTAATACTCCTACGTTTTCTGCTCCTATTCGCAGACTTTTTTCTTCTCCTCCGGATTTCTTCCTCTGATTCACTTTCCTCCTCACTCTCGGTGTCGCTGTCCGACTCTGTCTCACTAAGTGACGATTTTCTACTTCTATGCCTGGAACCCGAAATCTTCAACCTCCTCCTTCTTGATTTTGTATCAGGTAATTCAGAATCAGAGCCACAGTCAGAATTCTTTGTTTTATCAGATACATATTTCTCTTCATGTTTCTTTCTTTCGCTAGAGTCACTTTTATTTCCATCGTCGCCATATTCCTCCGAAATATCATCAGCCCTGTCCTCACACTCGTCGTTCTCATTCCTAGGTGGACTAGGGGTCACTCTCCAAATACAATGCTTCAATGCCTTCCGGAGCTTCTGCCTCTTCAACCTCCGATATTCCTCATAGTTCAACCCCTTCAGCTCCTCATCCGAATCCGACTCTTCAGATGCTCTTCCATTCCTGTCCAGATACGCCCGCCCTCCGGCACGCCCAAATCTCTTGGGTAGACCATTCTGGTCTCCATCAGCCCTAGGGCTCCGTCCAACGTCCGCGTAGCCAGGCGAGGAAGATCGACGACGATGGTTTTAGCGATCGTAACTTTCGTAGCTCGGGCTACGACGCCGACGGTAATCGCCACCGGAAGCATCGGAGTCCGGAGAGTAGCGATGACCGCCGTTTTCTCCATCGCATCGGTGTCTTCTATCTGGAATTTCCAGGATAGACCCTAACCTACCCATTGAATTATTTTGGGTATCGCAAACTAAATGGCTGTTGAATTTATCTCCCGGCCGTCGGTTCTAACACGATTAGACTCCAGAATTTATCTCAGATTCCTAAGAACTGGCTCTAAAGTTATTGAAAAGGTTTCAAATTGTTAATTAGCAGAACAGAATATGAACAGAGGATTCCAATGAGAAAAACGGAAAAACAAAAGGAAGCTCGTACCTGGTAGCAAGAACACAGAACGAGAGAAAAAGAGCGCCGAGACAGAATGTGAAGATGAAAGTGAGTGAGAATAGAATAGGCGCCAATATATATATATATATATGTATAGATATATTTATATGCATACTTGGAAGGAAAATATACAAAAGAATTTAGATATTTTTTAAAAAAATAAAAATAAAAATTGAGAAAATCAAATTGGTTTGAATTATGGAAATAGTTGATTACTCTATTTGTTTTTATGATTAAGGAGTCAAGATTTGAAGAGGGAGGGGAATAGAGAAGATTTTTTCTCTAATAAGGTCGATAACAAGATTATATTCTCCGAAGTTCGGCTTGATATAAATATATATATATTTGTAGGTAGATTAAAAATTAATATATAATGCTTTTTACTATATTAAAAAAAATAAAAAAAAATAGCTTTGTGGTGGTTAGAGGAAGAAACTATTGGATTTGCAAGTTAATTAGAAAATAAAAACTAAAGTTTATAAGTGGGCCAACATTTGGGCTTCTGGTTATTTGGTTACACTAAACCCGAATTCCAATTTCCTCAAAACTCCAAACCTCCTTGTCCCGACCCAAATTAAATACACCATAATTTTAAAAAAGAAAATTCCCCATTGGTACGTGTACTCCACGCGCCACTTCTAAATTCCTAGTACTAGGAGCCGCTGTCCTCTCCTAGCCGGAACAACCCCTGAGGGATGCCCCACAACCTTCAAATGATTGGTTATCTCAGCTCATCTTTTCCTTTTCCTTTTCCAATCTCACTCCTCTTCTTCCCACGTGTACTCCACGCGCTCCCTCAATCCTCAGATCTTCCGACCTTTTTTTTTTTTTTTTTTGTTTCTC